AGGGGGGGGGAGGGAGGTCCAGCTGCATGGTCTGGCTCCCCGACTCACGGCCAGGACGCGCACACGCACTACAGCCACAGTCCTTCCGTGTGAGCTTCACGTGCCCCAGCAATGGCAGATTACACTATTAAGAGGTAAGTACAGATAAGCAACTACTATATAGTAGTTGCTTATCTGAACCATATGGTTCAGGTTCATATTTCATAGTTCACAAGCGACGAACGATGTTCCACCAAGCGCGCGCGTCTTGCCTTGCTCAACCGCAACTTCAAAAATTCACATGCCAACCTATATTGCTCACTTATCGCACAGTAATTGTAAGAACTTGCATACGGTTACCTATACCATTTTCTTTAAATTTTAAAGTTTAGCCAGCCATTTCATTTAAGGAAAAGTTGGGCGCGAGAGCGTAGAAGGTCGGACTTAACCTCTCAAAGAGCATCGGGTTGTGTGCTTTCAACTAATAGTGTATGTTTGATTCGTTTAGGTTGAAGAATGAGCTGGTGGAGATTAAGAAGTCCCCACTACCGTACGCAAAGTAAGTACTTTTCAAAACACCGTGTTGAGAGCATATAGTTTTTTACTATCCCTAAACTTGGTTGATCTTTTTCAGTGCTGAGCCACGAGATGAGAACCTCCTTCTGTGGGATGGTGTTGTACTAGGTCCTGTTGGGACACCTTATGAGGGGGGAAAGTTCCATTTCAAAATGGAGTTTATCTACAGGGATTACCCTTATGAACCTCCTAAGGTACGTACTTCTTTTCCTGGTCTGTGTTCTTTACACAATCGTGAAAAGTGTTCGGTTGTTTGCATACTGTCTATCTCTTGAACCAAAATGTTTCATAACAATTAAATTTGATTGCAGGTAACATTTAAGACCAAGATTTTTCATTGCAATTTTAACACCATTGGTAACGTATGCCTTAGTACCCTAAAACTTCCAGAAGATAAGGGAACATGGAGAAGTGCAATGGGTATTCAAAGCATTCTCATCAGCATTCACCAGCTGATGGCAGAACCCAACTCGAGTAAGTACTACTGTGATGGTGGGTTAGGTAGAAAGAAGCATTCCGGTAAAGCTGAAACGCAAAAGAATGCAGGGAAGATGAAAACGGAAATCTCTATTCTTTGACATGGTGACTTCCGATTTCTTCTTCCCCGTATTCTTCTACATTTCAACTTAACTGGAATGCCTTATTGAAATTATTGATAGTAGAATCTATTAACCTACAACTTAAATTATCAAAGGCTGTCCTTCTTGGTTTTCCAGAGGATTCTCTAACACCGTCCATTGGGGACCTGTATGACGACAAAAGAGACAAGCATGACGAAATTGCAAGAATGTGGACAGAGCGCTATGCTATGGAGGATTAAAATCAATTATTGATAATAAGTGATAGTACTTTTTGTTGCCTCGTAGTACCAATAAAACAGCAAATTTAAACTTCATTTTCTTTTTGATAATATCGTATTGTGGAACTGCACATAACATTTGATGAGAAGGAGTATTGAATCA